ATGGAGAGAGAGGTTTATAAATGATTTAATAATATATTATGAGAATAATACATTAATTAAAAATCATATTATTTAATTAGTATTTGATTAGAAATTAATTTGGAATTAATTTTGGGATTAAAGGAACTGATTAAAAGAATTGAGACTGTTTTGCATATCATTGATAGTTGCAAAACTGGGCTGTTGGACTCCTTTTGGATGGAGTGGACGAAATCTATAAGGAGGCCCTATAGAGTTTCGTCCAAGGCTTCTAGAAGTGGAGGTCTATGGACTTCTTAGGGCCTAAGAAAGATATTAGGGCTTCCACTTGAAAACCCCAACAACTTCAGCTATTTAAGGACCCCTTCACAAAGCGTTTTCGCCTAATGCTTAGAGCATAGAAACCCTAGCCAAAATTTTGCATTATCCCTTCCCTCTCCTCTCATCCTCTTGCTACAAGTGTTTGTGAGCCATTAGAGGTGCAACATTTGAGGCACTAAATTTTCAAAGGTCAAGATCAAGCTAGGAATTCTTGTTATTTCTATATAACAAGCAAGGTAATCTTCTTAACCCTTTTCATATGTGAATTTCGAATTATATATGTTAGATCCTGGGTTATTTCTTTGGAATTTCTTTTGCATGTTCAATTAGTGAAAAACTTAGATCCTAAGCAATTAGGGTTGCATGAACACATAAGATGTTGTTATGCTCAAAACCTATCACTTTCAACCCACCATGTTCGAGGGAGAAGAAATCGAATGCATTTCAGTCGATAGATATAATAAAGGAATGATGTTCTCCGCAATGGTTTCTGTCGTAAGGGGTAACGTACGGTTCACTGTAAATCATTTATGTTTTTCAATATAAGGATGTTCATGATTGATTTTTCTTTAGTTTGGTGACCGAGTTGAGATCATATCACGAGTCAAGCCTTCGACCTAGTTTTGATGAGATTGGGTGTCTCCGTTGTAGATCGAGAATTTGATTCTAAAGGCTGGATTGGAAGTCCAGCGGAGGAAAAGGGAGTTGGTTCTCGGGCATGAACCGCTGACATATTAAAGAATTCAAGATTTTTTTTATTCGTCTAGAGGGTTTAGGGAGCCGCAGTTAGTGTGACAAGCAAAGGAAGGACGCAAAAGGGTACTTCTCATATGGTAGCGTCGAGATGTTTCTGATTCGGGTAAGAGAGTTCTATTAATATGTTGGGTTTATCGAAGCCTTTGTTTGATTCTCTGGATGAAATTCTTGAAGTTTCAGAGGAGTGTGAGGTTGTGGAACATTTCTTCGAATGCATGTTTTGATTGCGTGAGGCTCAGTTCTTAGGGTGCCTCGTAAATTAAATGGTATCTGTAACTTCCCAAAAATTACAATAAATTTGAACTTTAAATTAAAACATTTGTAATTATTATAAACTCCATTTAGTCCATTACTTAACCAGCTCCATCAACTTTTAAGTATCCAAATCATAATTCCTAAAACATCATTTCAGTTAGAAGTTAAGCCCACAACGAAAAACAATAATAAAAAATCCAACATTAATATTCGTGACAAAATCCAATCTTTAATTCATGCCCGGTTTACAGTCAAACTTTTCCTTTCCCTTACTCATACCTGTAGTTCCTGTAACACATATTTAAGAGGGAAAGGGTGAGCACGAAGCTTAGTGAATTCCAATCACAACATAGCATCAAAGTATTATACCTTACTACTAGTTAACATGCCATCAACAATCATTCAAACACATGTAACAAATAACCATACATTATCACATAATACATGAATGTTCAGGAACACATCCTAAGCATCACCCAATAAGGACTTGACATTACTACATTCAGTCCACGGATTCGGCGTCTCCGTCTTTAGTCCCATGACTTGACACGATGGCCTTCGGTTATTCTGACACGGAACGATGGCCTTCGTTCAATCAGCTCGACCCTTCTTCCTTTGGCACCAAACACATCAAATACAATCAATACAATTAATAATAAACATCTAATATTAATCATATAGATCCTAATTCTTATCCGGTCTAACAGTAAACATATAAAACCTTAATGTTATGAGTGAGGAGCTCATCTCAAATCGTATGTGAATTACCCCCGAACAAGGCCCCAAGCTCTCAAAATCAAGAAACTTCCTTTTACCCTATATTAATGTCTTATTGTGTTAGCAAACACTCTTTGGTCCTTAAATTCACTAAAACATTCCTAAGTTTATTTTCAGCTTTTTATATCAAAATTGCAGTTTGTTCAAGACATTTTTTGCCCACTTTAAACCCATCCAAAACATATTACGAATCCATGATCATGAAGTTCAGGTCAATACCTTTTCAGGGATTACTTACACTTGCTCTTTCCTTGTCATCAAGCAAACAATGCTTAGTGTTAAGTATAATAAAGTTAAATTTACTAACCATTACATAAGATAACCCTTAAGTTGAATTTTATGGTCATAACTAGCTTCTATGTGCATATATGTGTCTAAATCCTAACAACTTTCCTAACTTTAAATACTTATAATCTCCATAAATTCTCCTCACTCAGTATGAACAATTCACACTTCTACATCCCTTCGTATATACCCTTATTAAAAAGCTCCCAAACTCAAGGTATTTTTGTCAGGTTCCCATACTTTTGATACTATCCCATAATGATGTTTCTATTTGAGATACCAGTTTCCACATTTCCATGGTACAAAACTTTTTATACATGTGTTTTGATTTCACACGGTACCAAAATTAACTAGCTTTAGCTCATGGCTTTCTATAGAAGATTTATGGATACTTGATAACTTTTTCTTCCAAAGGCCATTAAAAGAAGTCTATGACTTTCGATGGGAGACATATATATTATATAAATCTTTTGTTCATCCCAAATGTCATAGATTGAATCCTTCTCTTAAGCTTAACTAGAAAATTTTAAAATCTTCCACATGGGTAGGGGTACATTTCAACAAAAAAATGCAAAACATATAACATCTCTTATACTACACAAGTTCAAATTTCCATTTTAATAATTTCACTAAAATAGGGAAGTCACATATATACTATAACATATCCACTAAGTATAGCCTTTTAATTCGTTTCACATTATCATTCATAAAATTGGTAATTCTTTATATGCTCAATTATGATTTTTTATTTATATTTTTCCTATTTAAACAATTTAAGCCATTTATTTATTATAACTAAATCAATCCCTTACCTCTCACTTAAACAATATAATGTCTTCTTTGTATATAAAACAAAAAGAAAAATTAGAATTGACTCCCTTGGTATAGAGTGGTGAGATTTGGTTTCTCATTGTGTAAGGTTGCTTTGAACAATTCAGCAATAGTTATGTCTTCGGTTAATCTTGCTTGTTCCTTTGCCAATTTTCAAGATAATGTTCTCTCATAAGCTTTTATGAATATTGTGGTCATCAAGGATTGTTGAAACCTATAATTTATGCTTAAAATTCATGTGTTTCATCAACATACGAGATTGACGCGATTTTTGGTCGTAAACCGGACAACTTTGATTTGACATTTTTTCACGATGTAAAATGTGTATTTCGTTACAAGTTTGTAATAGGTGTTGATTAGTCACTTGATTTCCTTCTCTTATATGCTTAACGTTTACGCCTTTCCTATATATAAAACTTGAAAACACACAAAAAGAACATTGGTTTCATTAATGATAAAAAGAAACAATCAATTGAAAATTAAAAACTTAAATACTAAAAAAATTTAAAATCAAAACTTATTATAATTGGCTATCTAACTAATCCCATTTCTTTTAGTCATTTAGTCTTCATTGTCGGTGAGATTGTAAATTTCCATTGGATCATCATTAGTGTTGAAATCAAAAGTTCTCTCTCAGATAATTCTTCATCAAACTTATCATTACTCAAACAGTTGTATTTTTCACCTTCATCATCATATTCATCCTCACTAGGATCTTCTTCTGGTTCATAGTGGCATTTTTCTTTCTCTTCTTATTCTCTTTCTTCTTCTTCGCTTAACTCATCCTTACTACTAGTATTTGGTAAAGGTTTGTTATCACTAACTTTTAGCATTAAAATTTCATTCGTTGCCCAAGTAAGCATAGTCTATAATCATTCTAAGTGTTCTCCCATTTTTATTATGCTCTTCATTATTCTTATTATCATCTCCTCGTTATTTTTGCCTCTTATAATTGAATTTTCTAATTCTTCCTCAATTCTATCTTTCTTCTCTTTTGTTCTTTCCTTAACCATTACTTCACTACAAGAAATGTTGGCAATAGCGGCGAAGCTAGGCATTAGCAACGACATGTAATTGACGCGTTACATGATATATTTATTAGCTATTTTTATTTAATTATTATAAGTTATCGTGACTAATATTTTTAGTTGTATTTTTTCAGCCGAGCTTCCAAAAAAAGAAGGGGCTTGTCAAAAAAATATCGAGCTAGGAAAGTGTATATGGGCAAACAAGGGAAAGCCCGTTGATTTGGATTTCGACAGGGAGATCACATATTCCACTGTCGGGAAGCCTGGTAATTGGTTTACACATGAAATTGGGAGGTATTTGTGGAACAACGACCTTTTCAACATATCTGGTTAGGACAATGTTTCTCCCGCATTAAGGAACGCAACAATTATGCATTTAAAGGTAACTTGGATAAAATTTTAAGTTTAGTTGTGATTGTTATTTAACTAACTAACTTTTTTGTATTGTAGAATAAGTTTGATTTTGATAAGGTTAACTTGGATCCAGAACGTGCTCAACTATTGCGGAGCATTTATTCGAGTCTTGCAAAAGTTTACAAAGGCCGAAAAAGTAAAGCCCATTCTTATTTTAAGCAAATCAGGGGCCTGTAGATATCCCAGCCACATTAAACAACCCCCCCCCCCCCCACAACGGTATGTCATATGAAAATTGGGCGAAGGCAGTCGAACATTTTCAAACGCCAGAATTTTTAAGGCGTTCGGCGTCAAACATAGAAGTATGTGCAAAACAACTAGTTGTAAACAGAGGGGGGTCGAGCTCGTACAACAATGCATGTTTCAAAGAAGTAAGTTATGATATATTTAAATGTTTATTTAAAGTATAAGTAATCTAATTTTTAATGTTAAATAGGATATCAGTCGAATCGAAGCTTTTCGTAAGGCTAATTCCAATCGCCAATGGGTATTTTATAGTCTTGTAGTCGAGCAACAATACGTAAGTGGTTAATTTGTATTTTCATATAAGTGTTTATATCGTAAAGGGTATTTAGTAATATAATTTTTATGATTTTTATCATTTTTTGAAAATTCGGAATGCTTTACTCGAGGAGATCAACCAACAAACCCAAGCTTCTTCTGAAGCAAGTGGTCTAACAACAACTAATATAAGAAAATGTTTTGAAAGAATATTGGGTGTTCGACGCGGACATATCAGAGGCATTGGGCGTAAACCTCTTACCGTTGTGTCTATGTATGATCAGGAACAACTAGTGACACAAGAACCACCACAATCACAGGTCACTGTTAGTTTAAGTTGAAAAGTATAATGCTATAATGGAAAAACGAAAAAAAAAGTAGGATGCTATAATGATATGTTGGTAATTGTTTGTTTAGTATATAGTCAAATGCTATAATGGAAAGTAGAATGCTATAATGATATGTTGGTTATGGTTTGATATGTTGATATTTTGTAGTTTGATAATTTTTGGAAAGTACAATGCTATAATCGAAAGTAGAATGCTATAATTATATGTTGTGTATGATGTATGTTTAAGTGTATTTGGAAAGTATAATGCTATGATGATATGTTGGTTATAGTTATATATGTTGGTTATAGTTAGATATGTTGGTAATTGTTTGTTTAGTATATAGTCCAATGCTATAATGGAAAGTAGAATGCTATAATGATATGTTGGTTATGGTATGATATGTTGATATTTTGTAGTTTGGTAATTTTTGGAAAGTACGATGCTATAATGGAAAGTAGAATGCTATAATGATATGTTGTGTATGATTTATGTTTAAGTGTATTTGGAAAGTAGAATGTTGTAATGATATGTTGGTTATAGTTATATACGTTGGTATTTTTTTATTTTGGTAATTTTTGGAAAGTATAATGCTATTATGATATGTTTGTAATATATTTTGTTTTCTTTGTAGTTGGAAATGCTGCAAACGATACTAAAGGACCCGGCATGTTCTACGACATTGGAAGAGTGGTTTCACTCATTGCCGCCACCATATAATAATGAAGGAAATGATGGGAATGATGAGGACGAGTAACTACTTTAGGGTTTTATGAAATGTTTTGTTTGGAAGAATACTTTAGGTTGTTGTATGGATTAATATTTTGGATTGGTTTTGTATGGATTAATAATTCTATAAAATTTTAATAGATATTATAAATGTTATATTGTTTTTTATAATTTTAATGCTAAATAAACAAAAAAAATGAAAATTCTTTTTGCGGCAACTCCTTTTGCGGCTATAGGATACTATTAGCGGCGACAGAGTATTTGCGGCGACAGTTGTTTAATTGCGGCGACTATCAACCTGGCATTAGCGACGAATCATTAGCGGCGACTTATTTGTAGCGACATGTCGCCGCTAATACCTTTAACGGCGACACACCCTACCTTTTGCGGCGACAAGCGTCACCGCTAATGTTCACCTTTCTTGTAGTGCTTATCTCCATTTCGATCCTCCTTTTTTGTTTGAGCTTTCTTTTCTTGATTTTTCTATCTTCAATTCCTCTTCACTTTCATCCTATTCTTTCTTTAGTTTTCAACATGGAGCATAAGTCTTCCTTCAATAAATTTCAACAACTTTCAATCTAGTCCAACTTCTAGCTCTAGTTTAGCTCTTTTTTCATACAACTAATTATATCAATAAAATAACAATTTCAAACATTATAAGCACATTTTTTCCTAAATTACATCAAAATATAGCGTAAATATATATAATATCGCATCAAATAATTGAGTAAAATAAGTTATATCCATAGTCTTGTAGTGACACTTTAGTACCTCACTTTTAGGTATCTGGTTGTTTCATATGTACATCTGGTAGAACAGATATGCTTATACATGCATGACTGACATGTATCTATGTTTTAAAACGAGTACTCTAGCTATATGCCACCTGTCTCAAACCCTCACAGCCTATTCTGACATAAGTTGGGGGATGCTCAACCATATGCTGATTTACATTAGGATACTATGTCTTCCGTGGTGATAACCTGATCTCATGGTCCCCTAAAGAAACACACGGTCTCTCATTTCAACATTATGGATACCAAATAGAGAGGTGTTGTGTAAGAAAAACGGGTTAAAATAGCCTTGGAAATTCTGAGAATTGTGGTTTCACTTTCAAATTAAAGTATTTGGGTGGTACTCCCAATCTTTAATCGGATAAGACTAAGAATTGAGAAAACAGAAGAGAGAATGTTCAAGATGTTATGAAGAAGAAGAGTACCAACAACAGATTTCGGATATGATCATATAACCAGAAAAACTTATAGTCTTTAAAACTGCCACATGACAGTTTTATGTCCTAAAACGTCATAAACTAACTTAAATTCGGGTCTAGAATATGGATCACAAAACCGGGTATATTTACCAAAAATCCGGATTTCTGATGCATTTTTAATATAGTAACATAACATATATAAAAAATTTCACATATTTACCAGCCAGGGGTTCTGCCCCTTGGACCCCGCCAGGGGCTGCCGCCCCTTGGACCCCGCTCCCAGGGGCGCTGCCCCCGGACCCCCGTCGGTTCAGGGGCTTCGCCCCTAAATTGCAGTATACTTTCAACAAAGACAAAATTAAACAAATGTGCACTCCGCACCATACCGATTTGTTCAATAATTGTCAAAGTGACATTGATCAACAAATTAACCCCATTACACTGCAATAACATTAGTGATATAAAATCACCAACATGTTGCACATGTGTTTGTAGACACTTATTTGTTTTGTGAATCTTTTCCGTGAACTTTAGATCCCCCTTCGTATTAATACCATCATCTACTACAATAATGTCAGTACGGTCTACATGACCTCCAACCACGTTCAACACATGTAGATGAAACATATTGAGCTCAATATATATTATGTTTGTGATAAAGTAGCAATCGACTAGAAACAAGTTCTTCATGTTCCCGCTTGGTACCCATACACCAACATATTCACGAAGGCCTCCCGTCTCGATTGCTCATAGAGTATCATTCTAGCTCAAGTGTTTGTCTACTTCTCACGCAAACTTTGGGGACATATTATTGTACATTAGAATATTAGACTCACTTGTATTTTGTATATAAGCCTTGGCCCATTATTGTAATCTATGTACCGGATATTGTATGTCTATAATGAAATCAATTATAAGAAAACATGTCTGGTTACACCATCGAGTTATCTAAGGCCAAATGGAAGAAGAGATTGTGTAAGGATAGAAAAATATGTTCAATCGTCTCTATTGTCAATTTTGTCATCACATACTGAACAAAGAAGGAAATCAACATATCTTTTATGTTCAGGTTAGTTCTAATCAGCACCAACTTAAAAATTAGTTCATTTAAATTTTTTGATTTGCAAAACGGAACATAAATTCGTAGTGTTCCAGGTTGGTATGATTTTAGGACAACTCGAATAAAAGTTAGAAGTTTAAGTAGTTTGGATATCAATGTTGTGGGTTATAAGGTACACTCCTTACTAACTTCTAACCATCATTTCAAGTTACTAGGGGTGAGCATGGTGCGGTTTTAGGGCCAAACCGAACCGCAAACCGCAAGGTGCGGTTTTTGAATTCTAGAAATCGTTGGGTGCGGTTTTTTAATGGTTCGGTTTTGCGGTTTTTGAGTGCGGTTTTGGTTTGTACCAGTTCGGTGTCGGTTTTAAACCAAGTCAAACATATAGTGCGGTTTTTTATGTTCACCGGTATGATTTTTTAACCGTGGTGTTCATGTGAAGATTTATGATTGTATGACATGGTGTCATTTCGTTTCCTCACATTTGGAAGCTGTAATTTTGAGTTTTTTTATGTTGCTTAATTGATCACTTCATTTGCAACCCATATTGTCAAGCTCATTTTTTTATTCAATTTGTGCTTAGAAGTTACAAGCTTGCAAGTTGTAGCCCATATAGTGTTTACACTTTACTCATAATCATTAAGTCATAAACACAAAATGACAAACTCACATATTAAACCTAATACCTAATTATTAATTACCTTCAAGTTCAATATATAATATATGTATAAATTATAATTTATTAGTTTTTTAAAAAATATGTATAATTGTATAATATAAATTAGTGATTTATTTTATTGTTAATAAGCTTGCGGTGCGGTTCGGTTTTGGTGGTCCAGTTTCTAGATAAAAACCGCACCGCACCAATAAATTCGGTTTTTCAAAAAAATAAAATCCGCACCATCGGTTTTGCGTCGGTTTCGGTTTTTCGGTGGCGGTTTATTGCGATTTTTGCGGTTTTTCTTTTATCGGTTCGGTTTTTGCTCACCCCTACAAATTACATGCCATCTATACATGTCGGATTGACAGGCCTGACTATTTATTATGGGTGTAAATGGTGGATTTAAAATGAATTTGAAGCTTACTAAGCCTATAAAATCCATTTAATGTGATTTATATGTTTAATTGCACATTGCGTGATAGACGGTTTTTTTATTCTTGTTTTATAGACTATTTTATCTAGTCTTTTACGTCAAACAAATCGCTCATTGTGATGTCGTTAGTATATATGCTATGTCAAAAGTAACATTTTTACTTGTGCAGATAATTATATATTATGATATTAAATGAGTTAGAACTTGGTTTTGATCTATTTAAGTAGGTTAATTAATCATATGTTTAATCAGCATGTTAAAAGGATAACTAAATGTAGCTAGCCAAAAAAGAAAGGGTCAAATTATCGAAGAGAAATTAAATATCCGTCTACCTTTTATTTCTATTTGTCTTTATAAGATAATGATAGATGTCATATTTTGATAAAATTAATTATATTTTAACTCATCTTATGTGAAAACTATTTGTATAATCGTATTTAATAGATTAACATAGAATATAAAATGTCGGCCAAATTGCTTTCTATGAATCAATATGTACAATATATGATGTGTTAGAAAATGGTTATGGAAAAAAAAACACTTTTACTTAGGCCTCGTATGTTTTTCTATAAAAGTACTTTTTGAGCACTTTTTCCTTCTGACAGGTAGACGTTTCTCAATTGCACGTCTTCTTCCGCAAACATGGAAAAAGACAAAAGACATTTAATCACTTCCAAAACAAACAACACCTTAGAAACCAATTATATGTTATGTATAAGAAAAAAACATCATAAATGGTCTCAGTGGTTTCCTCAGATTTGAAGTTTAGTCCCCGTGGTTTATAAACATCATAGATGGTCCATGTGCTTTAAAAACTTTTTACAATTGGTCCTTATCCCTCACACCGTTAAATTTTATCCGTTAACTGAAGGGTATTTTCGTCATTTCACTACCACGGAGACCATTTATGATGTTTTCTCTTATTTAAAAAAAATAAAAAAAATGAAATATATGTAAAAGGGGTCCCATCTCTCTCTCTCTCTCTCTCTCTCTCTCTCTCTCTCTCATCACACAAAACCTACACCCATATCTTATTCTTTCTTACGCCTCAATACCAACAACACCTCAGCCCACCTAGAAGAAAGTTTTAGATTGCCATCCTCACCTTACTGGCGGTGTTTTGGCTTCGTCATGTTCCTATCATGACCCCAATTTTCTTCTCTACTCTTGTACCTAGTTGTCGTTCGGTTTTATGGAGGGTGTCCCTCCAAATCTTGATCCCGATGTTTCTACGTCATTTTAAGGAAAATTGGATAAATCAAAGTTTACCTCAAAATCGGTTACAAATTTGGAAAATAGCGATGATGTGAAGAAATTGAGCTCCAATCCTCCTATTCAGTTACAGTTACAGTTATGCCCTCTCTCCCTCTTCACTATTCTTGATTCAGTCACAACCACTCCTTCTCTTTTCTTTTTCGTGTTTTCTGCAGGTTTAACGGGTTGGAGATAGGGAAGGGTTATGGTCTCAGTTGTGGTGGTTTGTAGAAGTTTTAGGGTGGTAATGGACGTGGGTGAACGGTGTCTGGATTGGAGAAATAAGTGTGGCTGCTAGGTTGTCGAGGTGATGATGGTGGTTAGCTTTCATGGAGTGGGTGCTTTTTATGGCGTTATAACAGGGGATGGAAATGGGTGGTGTTATGGTGGAGCTGTTTTGGAGTAACAATGGTGGAGTGAGGTTGTCGATGGCTAAAGGTGAGGTATAAGGTAATAATTCGTTATTTGCTGAAAATGGGTTTCGATTTATTTG